CATCCATGAACATCAACTAGCAGTCAGAAGACATGATGAAAACTCCTTAATCTCACAAAACATGGACAGACTCAACCATGGTTTCAGCTGGGAAACTGTGACCAAGCTAAATCCAAAAATGCAAGGGAATTCCCAGAAGCCTGGTAATCAGACAAGGCAGCCATTAACAGACACACAGAGATAAACAACATCTACACACTATTCAAAAGAGATAATAAAAAGGAAACAAAGGACCAGAACATCTCCTCACCAGCAATCATCAACGAGAAAAGCAGAGATTAACACCAGATTATCACCAAACATACAATGAAGCAATAAATGATACCCTAATCAAGGAACCACCAGAAAAAGGAAAAAAACCAAAACACCAACACTGGCAGGGCAAGCCACTGTACATAAACAGAGAGCAAACCCCACTCTGTTCTAGCACTGGCTGGGGAATTCTGGGAGTTGAAGTCCACATGTCTTCAAGTTGCCAAGGTTCTAGAACTTATCCACTGCCCTTAAGCAAATCTCCATTCTGTCTCAACCTGCAGGTGGGACTGGAAGACCTACTTAGACAAGCTCTACAAATGTGAGTGAGCTGAGTTGGAACATGTGGAGTGTATGTGTGAAGGGGATTTAGCCCGCTACTCCAGCTGCACAGGTTCCATGGTTACATTTATTTCCAGTACCAATATTTACTTTTCAGTGATTGATAATAGTATAAACAGCAATTCATTTATTCATATGCAAGAAGTCACTGTTTATAAATATATAAACATAGCCCGTGTCCATCTTCCATAGCCTGTAGGGGCAGCTGAGACTTGAGGCATACTGTGGACACTCTCACAAAACAGCTACAACAACAGAGACAGCCACCAACCACCCACTTACTAGAAAGCAATCAGGTGAAATTGCTTTCAGATACTTCTCAGGAGCATGCACAGAAGGAGTCAAAAAAGTCAAGATGGTGACCATAAACATGTTATTGAAATCGTCATCTGTTTTGACCCCCCTTCCCATGGTTGCTCTTGCTCCCTCTGACTCTCTAGCACCCTTTTAGCCATCCCAGGTTGTTCTTTATCACCTTTCCTGCAAACAAACATGATTAAAGACCAGCAGTTTTACTTTCCTGCAAGCCAGCTTCCAGCATATGCATGTATGTATGTATTTATTTGGAAGAATCTGCATTTAAAGAAGAATCTGCATTTAAAAAGTTCAAGTCAAGGGGCAGAGGCTCAGCCAAGGGAAATGTTTGCAGGGACGCAGATGGTCTACAAAAGGGAGAGCCAGCCTGTCAACTTCCTGAGCTTGTGCTGGGCAAACCCCACACTCTTTTGCATCCTCAATTCATTCACTGCAGTCTTTGCATTTCCCAAAAAACATTAAGTGCAGTTCCATGATCCAAAGGTGGTCCACCCCCACTGCATTCAGAGTGAACTGGATACCTACAAATACACGCAGATGCCGGGCACATGCCAGGCCGATTGCCCCGTTCTGTTCACAACCACAGATCACCAACAGTGTCGGCTGCTTCTTCGGAAGAGACCGCCGGGGGAAGACCTGGAACAAAAAGACCACCAAGTGAAGGCACAGACCCACAAAAAAAGACAAATATTGCTCAGGTTCACAATGTGCCTAAAAGTAAAGCTTAGATCACGAAGAGGGCAGAATCCCAGTGAAGGTCACAGCACACAAACTACATGATACACTTCCTCAACTTAGGGGATGAAACAAGTTCATGAAAGTGATCAAGAGTCTCTCCCAGGGTTGTTGGGAGTCAGGTGGTGTACAAATTGAATTAAGTAATTAAATAAATGATGATGCCCAATTATACATCTCCACCCCTGGCTGAGCAGTTGATGCTCTTGCATGCTGACTGAATACCTGGAGGCTATGATGGCCTGGATGGGGAGGAACCAACTTAGACCCAATCCTGGCAAGATGGAATGGCTCTGGGTTTTTGCCACGTGCCCCCAAGGTCTGGTGATATGTCATCTTTGACACTGGGTGGGGTGGCACTCCCCCAGACTGAGCTGGTGCATAACTTGGGGATCCTCCTAAACCCACAAGTTGAGGAGCAGGGGGCAGTTGTGGCTAGGAGGGCCTTTGCACAGATTCATCTTGTGTGCCAGTTGCACCCTTTCCTGGACCGGGAGGTCTTGCTCACGTCATTCACGCCTTGGTCACTTCCTGCTTGGACTATTGCAATGTGCTTTACATGGGGCTTCCCTTGAAGACCACCCAGAAGTTACAACTGGCCCAGAAATGAGTACCTGAAACCAGCGGTGTCCAGGGGAGTGTGTGTTAAAACTGGCAAGATGGTGGTCATGGCATTGCAACGTGTTTTGACCTTTATTTTATCTGTTATGCTTTTAACCTGATTTACAGATGTCGTGTATGTACACTGCTCAGAGCTGTGAGCAATTGGAGTAGCCTTATAAGCCCAGTGAGTAAAAATAACATAGAAATGATCCTGGGAAAATATGCAGCTGAATTTAAAGAGCTGCACCGTCCTAATATGGGGTCATTGTGGCTGTTTATTATCTCCCAGGTCAGAAACTCCCAGATCAGATCTTAGGAGCACATGGGTACGAGGTGCCTGACCTAGCCTGGCCCCCGTTAAATCATTTATTCCACCAGCCAGGATCACTTATTTCAGTACCGAAAGAGCTTTCCCTGCAGCTGAGCCAATGTGCTCTCTGTCCACCCTTGGATCAGCAGAAAACTAAACCGTGACATTGTCTGATCCCTCCCTGACTTGACTGCTTCTGTCCTGGGCTGGAGATGATATGAAGGCAATGTCACGGGGATGCAGAGGAAAAAATATGTTGCCATGGTGCCAGGCCATGCTTGCGGTCGTGAGATGCAAGCGAGGAGAGGCCCGAAGTGAAGCGTTTGTTAAATCAAGAGCTTCCACTTTGGACACTATCCCCACCCCCTTTGTTGCAGCTGACTAGCTAATGCTTCCTGCTTCTTGTTGTTAGTGGATTTGTTTCTTGGGTGGTTTGGGAAAAATACAGAATAATCCTGTGCTGGCTGAATTGGAGATTGAGGTATCACAGATGGAGTGAAAAATGACTTGGTTGCGCCCTTCCTCTGGTCTCTGCCTCTTGTGCACCCCCAAATTGGAGAGAGCCAGCCAGAACTGTTGCAGAGTTGTTCTCGTTCCCATCTCAGTGCCTATGGATACAAACCTCCGTGTAACTCTGGCAGGTTTTGTTGATATAGCAAGACCAGATTCAGGTAGCCTACAACCTCCACAATTTCTTGCATCCTGAAATTTCCCAGGATCAGACCATCATGAGAAGGAAACCAGTAGCAGTTGCAGTGGAACATGAGCAGAAATGTTGTGCTCCTTTTCCACATCTGAATCTCTCAAAGGATTCAGTTCCTCGCTGGGGGAAGACTAGATTTGATAGGGCTTAGTTTTTTCCACTCAGAACTCTTATGGTGCTTTTTATTGTCACAGGAATACTGGAAAGAAATTACGTTCTAATAGAAGAGAATATGTGTAGCTCGGGGTTGAACTGTGGAGTCCTTGGTGCTCTCTCAGCTTGGTGGTTTTCATGCAGACGTTTCATTACCTGACGAGGTAACATCATCAGTGCAAGTGAGTGTGGGGAACACCCCACACTCACATACACTGATGATATTACCTCGTCAGGTAATGAAACGTCTGCAAGCAAACAACCAAGTTCAGAGAACACCAAGGACTCCAAGAAATTGGGTAAAGGATTCAGGACTTGTCTGTCCATGAGCAGAATAACTCTCTGAAAGCAGGATAGAACTGAATCAGCAACATCCACAAGGGGGTGGTCAAAAAAGACAAGATGGCAGTCACAAACAAAGCCCTGCCCCTTTTGTGCCGGTGTGTGATATCAATGCATTTCCACCCACCAGAAAAATCTATCAATAGCCCCATTTCTGAGAGACTTCAGGGGTGGAGCCCAGTACATTTTTCTTTTTTTAAAAATAGAAGTTTAGTGACGCTTTTTTCCCGTCCCTTCCATTTGTTTCCCAACTGCTAACCTAAATAGTTGTACTTTACAATGAGCATTGAACGTTGAAGGTCATAGCTAATATCTGCTTAAGTCATGTCATCTCTTATTTTCGATTGCTCTCATAACCCTTCTCCTCAAAACTGTGCTCCAGATATCTAAGCTGGCCTTGCTGGGTGTTGCACTGATGGGAGGCATTCAGCCTTAAATTGGGTTAGGCTTCTGTTAGGGGTATAAATTGTCAATTTTGCCATTTGCTGCATACCATCCAATTTTGGTCTCCCAATTTTGTATCTTCTGCAGAAGAAAACATTGCCGTTCTCTGGCAGCGCCAAGGCTATAGATTTCCCTGCCGCCCCCCCCCCTCCAAAATCCAATCAACCCCTACCTTGCTAGGCTCCAAGAGACTATTAAAAACAGAACTGTTTAAGAGGGCCTTTGAGTCAGAGATGTCACTTTCTGTGTTTATTGCTTTTTGACTGACTGTATTTTGATTCTACCCCCCTCTCAATGATTACTGATGGTTATATAAAATTATTCATACTGTTTTGTGTTTAAAATTGTAACTTGCTGAGAGTCTCTCAACTGCAGCAGGTTAAACCAGTAAACAACCAAAGAAATAAATAAAGGGACAGGGCTTTAATCATATTGGTGTGACCACCATCTTGCCTTTTTTTGACCACTACTCCTGTGCGTGCTGCTGAACTGGACCAAATTTGGTGTACAGAGGAAAATCTGGCAAAAGAAAGAGTGAGTTTGAAAATGGGGCAGATCAGTCTAGGGCAGAGTTTCTCAAGCTTGGCAACTTTAAGACACGTGGACTTCAACTCCCAGAATTCCCATCTGGGGAATTCTGGGGATTGAAGCCCACGTGTCTTAAAGTCCACATGTCTAGGGGCTACCAACGCATCTCTATGAGAGAGTTGCCTGGGTAGCGGCTTGGAATATTGTTGACCGCTTCATTTCAAGCCCTCACACTTCCAGTCAAGTGACCAAAAATAGTGCACACAGCCTGTCCCATGCTTCCCAGTGCACACATACCACACGTGCACACACACACAGATTAGATCCTCACAGACAGGCAACATGTATGCGTGCACCCTGATTAGTTCTTAGAAAGAAAGGGTGGGTACACGAACAACCTTTGTAATGCAGAAAACGGAGATGTCTCTTTATGGCCACTGCCGATAAAGGGTTCAGAAAGAATTCCAGAAACCATGCATTGCACACCTTGTTTTAGAATCTCAATTAGTCACTGAGAATCAATCCTTTTTAATGTGTTCTCTGTTTGCTTTATGAAATTAAGGGAAAGTACAGTTCCATTGAAAAGTGGCAGCAATTTGTGTTTCCTCCAATTCTGGTATTATTTTTAGAACTTCTTGTCTACGGGGAGTCCAAGGGGATAGGAACATATACAGAGCAAAATTCTGCAATAGAACATAAGTTCCGAACTAGAAGGTTATAAAGAAATAAAAAATCAATTCCAGCAGAACAATCCAAATATTCTGCTCTATCTACATGTGGTCATTTTGCTTCTTAAACCTACAGCTATTTCCCCAATGACCCTGGACTGGAATCACTCAGGTGTGTTGTGGAAAATGTTGCTGTTGCCTAGATCAGTGTTTCTTAACCTCAGCAAATGTGTGGACTTCAGGAAGATGTAAGATATGAACTCAACCATGATTTATTCCATAACAAATAGTTAAACCAGCCATGCCTTAGTGCAATGTTTCTCAACCTTGACAACTTTAAGATGTATGGACTTCAACTCCCAGAATTCTCCAGCAAACCTTGCTGACTGGGGAATTCTGGGAGTTGAAGTCCACACATCTTAAAGTTGTCAAGGTTGAGAAACACTGGCCTAGATCCAACTGTACAGCTACCATTACAGCCAACTAAGATCCTTTGAAGCCAGCTCCTGCTAATGAGGTTCCTTGAATTATACTCTGTAATCTGGAAAACTTTCATTGGCTATCCTGGATACTATGAACTCACCTTGGTCACCGCCATGGCAGATGCATGACCCCAGATCTCAATTAACTGCTGATGTCCAAATCTAAACTCTTCTAGGAGCTCCTTCTCAATAGCTGCTGCTTCTGCTCTGCTGCAGTAGAAGGAAGGGCAGGGGAAACCACAGTTACATTTCTCCAGAAAATTCCATTTGCACGTTCTTTCAAAAGCTAGGCTGTAATCAAAGCGCTGGAGGAATAGTCTGATGAATTTCTCACCAAATGACTCAAGAGAATGTCCACATTCAGAGGTAGTTTACCTCTGAATACCAGAGGCTAGGACAAACAATAGGTGGTCTTTATCACAATGCAAGAGTTGGTCAGTCTTTACTTCTGATCCAAAAATGCTATTATATTACCTTTGAGACTTGTAGAGAGTAAGAATGATGACCTTGATGGAAATATGTAAGAACCCTTACCTAGTTAAAGGGGGTTGAAACATTTTTTTAAGCCCTGAGAATCGAGATAATATTCGGAACTGATTCAGGCAGATGCTTCCCTGATTCACTGGAGTATAAGAAGTGGGAGGTGGTGCAAGATTCTGTTATTCTAGCTAACCCCAATAAAAGTAATTCTAGTCTTTCTGTGGAGTGGATTTCCTGGTCTGGTCTACCTAGTGGGGCTGGCAAGACTAGACCTTGTGCCAAGGGGAGGGGGAAAGGGGAGGGAATCTTCTGATCTGATTCAGCAAAACTCTTGTCATGCCCTTATTTGGGAGGATAACATGTCTTCCACAACTCTGCTTGCAGGGAATCAACATTTAAGTAATTGGGGGTTGCCGGGAACCTATGACTACAGCCAATCTTCTCATTGAACTCAACCGTGGACTTGCAAATTCCAAATGTCTTTCTTTCCAAAGAGGAATTGGGATATTAGGAAGTCCTCCATGTTTTTTATTTCCAAATGTTGTGTAATGCCCCATGTACATGCTGCTAATTTCCAGCGTCTTCCTGTCTTATCTCATCCTTGATATCTTGGGTATACAGCCTGAGACCCATGGAGCAAAAGATTTAATGTGGCCCAAGAACCCTCTAAAAGTTACCATCCAATCGTTATTTTCCATATGATGGAAGGAAGACATTATTAAGTACATAGGGAACAGTAATATTCATTGAATTTAATTCATTTACATTTAGTGACATCAGATTTAAACTAAATTTCATACCTGTCCTGACACCACTCATTTCCTTGTCTTATCCATTTGTATCTTGGAGTACATCTATTTAGACACACCTCGACAACCAAATGTGCCCTTAGCTTAAATCTCTGCTCTACATCAGCTTCGTAGATATTTGCATTGGAAGGATGAAAACACTATAAAAAAGCAACTTCAATGTGATTTGTATGTATGATTGCTAGCAGAGTCACTTTTGTGTGGTGTTTTATGGCCCAGTGGTCTGAATCTGCCTATAACCTATGTTTACACCAGCCAGCCAGATGTTCACATACAGTACTGTACAATCTGTTCAGTGGAGTCCTTGGTGGTCTCTGAGCTTGGTTGTTTGCTTACAGATGTTTCATTACTCAACTAGGTAGGTACATCATCAGCACTCAGAGAGCACCAAGGACTCTGCAGTTTGATCCTGAGCTACATATATTCTCTTCTATTGGAATCTGTTCGGGATATGTTAAAATAATGTATCTGGAGATTTTTTTCCCCCTTATTAAAACAATTGGGCATTTACCAGTGTATGAAAATGCGGCAATGGCTGTGCTCCTGTATACGTGCCTTCAATCTGTCATGTCTCTGTTCAACCTGTAGCAACTGACCTTATAATTAGGTTTGCATTTAGACAATAAAAAGCATTTGGCTCTGTGTGTGTGTGTGTTCATTTTAATTGTACAAGCCAAAACCAGGGTCATTTGGCTTCCAGACAAAAAGTGGTACAGACCGTTCCCCTCACCCCATTCTTCTTCCCTTGTAGCAATCTCTGGGTATTCCATTGCGGTATGGGAGAAGCCACAGGCAGGAATTTGTACATGGTAAAAGTGAAGACAATACCCTGATTGTTCTATTCCTGGCTCACAGCCCCCAAAACCCTGGCATGCGATGCAAAGGCTAGGGCGAGGGATGGAAAGAATTGTTCCCATTTGTCAGTTCATTCAACCCAAAGGATCAAAAAAGAGGGGGAAAGGTCATATTACTGACCATCATTCTTAGACAGCATTAACCTGAAAGGGAAAACTGAGTGAGGTGGGTATGGAGGAAGCCTTGGGGATCTGCCCCTGGCATTTTAATCTTTGGGAACAGAGAGCACTGCCGTTAAATAAGTTCATACTCTGGATGTAAGGATCGAATGGAAACCTGGGAGCAAACATTACTTCACTGATTTCAAAATATGATCCCCCAGGCTTGTTGCATTTGTCTTCCTTCCAGAACTCCTAGGGGGGAGCCCCTGGCCCTGATGCCACCCATGCTCATAGATCTTCCCTATAGGAGATAGGGGGAGAGCTGGGAAACTTTTCAAGGGGGATCCCACAAGCTTTCAAAGAGGCCCAAAGACTCAGAGATGCAGAAGTCAAAGACCATGAGGAGGTAGAGACAAGAGGAGTCCACCATGCTAGAACTAGAAGCCTACTAGCCTGAAGGCAAACACTGGGATTAAATGGGAACGTAGATATTATGGTGGAACAGCAAGAGGACTGAAGCTGATGGAATGAAGCGGAGAACAGGATAGGCAGGTGCGTGTTGCTTCAAAATAAAAGGATGATGCTGATTTGCACGAGGCTTACATTTGATATAATTTATATAGAAAAGCACCGATTTAGGAATAAGTACTTTATCTTTAAAAGAAATACTATGCCTCTTATTAGATGGATGGAAGTAATTTTCCTGCCATTCACTTACAGCATCTTCTAGCATCATCCAGCCATCACTAGGGAATAGAAAGCCCTGTCCTCTGTACTATGAGTCGGTCCAACAATAAAGACCCAAAGAGCCTTTTTCAACTACCTATAGTACTACCACTAGTACTACCTATAGAATTGTCCACATCTTTTCTTCCCATTGCAGATCCCTCTCCTGCCTTGATTGCCCCTGGTCCTTGTCACTGCCAGTCTCTGGATTTCCTTCCAAGATCATGGATGACAAAGCCAGACCAATTTTGCGTGGCTGGAGTTTGTCCTTGGATGATGTGGGAAGAAGGGGGAAATGACCAACACAGCTGAAGGTGGGCTATGAATCTAAAAGCAGGAACAACAAGAACAACATGGCAATACAGCAGAAAAAAGATGAGGGTTAGGGGAAGGGCCCTTACGAGCTGGTGATTGAAATAATGGTTCCCATTATATCGGAGAGAAAGAGGGACACTATGGGCGGGTGAAAGGGTAAAATATAGGAAGGGGTATATGATGAAAATCTGTTTCCTTTCTCCATTATCACACATTCAAAGCGGATACACACCGCCCATCCAGCTATCCATTCACGCACAGAGAAGCTAAATTTGCAAAGGTCCTTAGCCAGATCAGATAGAGGTGGGCTGCCTTTTGGTTAACAAGAGCCACATTTAATCTTTGGGGAGTGGGGCAAAGGACCACAAACTGGGTGGGGCCATATTATACATGTGGGTCAGGCCAAGGGTTTTTTGGAGTAGTTTTTTAAGATTTTGTTTTCTGGGCTGAGATGTTCCTGTCCTACTGGCCAACGCGAGAATTGAGAACCAGATGGATCTCAGAAAGGCCTCTTTAGTTCTAATCTGGGATAAAAACATAATCTTGAAAACTGTATTCTTTCAGACATATAATGAGTTAATTAAGGTGGAGTCTCTTTGAAATGCTTGCTTCTCACATTCCTAACCTCTGGGCTTTATCGCTTCTTCTCCCCTAAACTTCACTCCTTCCACACTTCCATCCCACAGTCTCTCACAAGTCCACGCTACAGTTTTCATGCACTTCCCCCTTCAGAACATAAGAAATGGTGCAGTCAGTTTTCAGGGGGATCTAATGGCCCCAAAATGGGGGGTTGGGGGCATGTAGCCCTAGAGTTTCCAGTTGCTCAACCCAACCTCACAGCTGGATTTGCACAGCAGGCTAAGCTGAGTTTTGAACAAGGTTAGTTTTGCTTGTTTGTGACTTAAGGCATAGGCTGTAGCAAGTGCGTTAATGTTCATTAAATAATTCAATGAAAATGGTGCATGCATGTGTATGTGCACGTGTGAAAATGGAGTCACACAAGTGCACAATCCTCCACCGCCACCCCCTTCTTTCCACCTACACAGCTGTTCAGTAAAGGCCAACTGAGGTGCAGAGAAAGGGGCAGAGGAACAGAGCATAACCATCAATCTCCTTCTTCCCTGCTATTTACTGATGACCAGCTAAGCAGAATAATTGGCTGAGTGATCGATTACGTGCCATCAAGTCAGTGTCAACTCTTAGTGACCACATAGAGAGATTTTCTCCATGACGATCTGTCCCTAACTGGTCCTTCAGCTCTTCCAACAGTGCCCCATCACCCCTGGAACTGAGCCCATCCAGTTCCTGCTGGTCATCCTCTTCTTCTCTTTCCTTCCACCTTGCCCAGCATTAGAACATTAGAGCAGAGTAAGAAATGGGTTTTCCCCCCCCTAAGCATCAGGGCTGCTGCTACAGCAGGAACAGAAGATGGAATCTTATCTCTTCACTAAGATAATTCAAATTCTGCACGGTGTTCAGGTGACCGGCAAGGAACCCCTAAGCAGTAATTTTTTAAAAAGCTGTAGTCATGGATGCTCCTTCTCCTCCACTGTTTAGCTGATGGGGAGGGGGGAGAGATGTTGGGGGGGATGATTAAAAACTGGAGAGTTTACTGTACTGTGGTTATTACTTCTGTGCCTGAGGTAAAACAAGTTATTTATTTATTTATTGCATTTATAACCTGCTCGTTCCTGATAAAACCAGCCTGCAGCAGTCTGATGTTACATTTCCTGGAGGTTATGTGTGTTAACTGGGGAACACTGCCTGGACTATGCACAAAATGCCCCAGAGATATGCCCGTTCTTCAAGGCTTGCTGGAGATTATGGAAGTTGACCTAGAAGTATGCACATTTATCTTTTTCGTGCACAGATTACAGTATATCATTCCCCATGAGGGCTGGAGGGAATGTACAGAACATGCAGAACTGTTGGTTGGGCTATTTATCACTTAGCTAATATTACACCTAATCTAACATTGCTAATTAAATAGTCTTGGGGGCTTAATCACAACTTTGCAAGAAATAGTAAGCTGAAATTTGAGAGATATGTTGCCCATAATCTCTCAATGACTCCTCAATATTTTTCCCCCTTGCCTCTGTCCTGAACCTTTCCCAGTCTTGTGAATTATGCCTACAAAGGGTCTTCTGTGACTCCCACCTTCCCAAGGAAATTACTGTCACAATGTTGTCCCTGTGGTTATCATTTTAATTTGTACATCTGTTGACAGATTTCTTGCTCGAGAAAGATCAGCTCCTTTGCCACGATCCCTGGGAGTCTGATACCGAAATGGAGTGGGTGGGTGCATATTCATATGAATCAATGCTCATGGACTGTGAAGCACCAACTCATGCTCAGCCAGCCATGTTCACACACTGCAGCTGATTTTGAACCACTGACAACTTCATTGATCATTGGACCTGTGGACAATTATATTAAACCAGTAAAAGCCAGGCGGTTGCAGAGTAAACAGATAACTAGGAGGCACGATGGAGTTTTCAAAAATTAGAGACCTCAAAACATGGTCGTAAGAATACGAGCGTTATAAAAAAAGAATCGCTGTTTTGAGCTGTGAAATGTTGGATGATAAGGCTATATAAGTATTACTGTTCATGTTTACATCAGCTTCCCTTTGATGGCCACCTGCAAGTCCTGGACTTTAATTCCCATGATCCCCAGCCCGTGCAATTGGAAAAGAATGGTTTGCACCCTTGTCTCTCACCCACTTTGCTAGAAAGCGCTTCCAGAGACTTTTTTCTTTCTGAAAGAGACTCCCCAAAAACAAGCATTCCAGCTTGATGGATCCTTTGGATCTGTTGCTACAGTAACAACGGAACAGGAGGATTTTTTTTAAAGAGAACTAACCCGCTTCAAGCAATACAGCAATACACAAGCAGATCCTGGGCTTCTATTAGCTCTATAGCCAGTTCTTTGCCCCTCTTGATATCCAGTCCCCATGCTGCTTATCATAATATAACATTTCAATTTTATTTTTTAAAAAGGAACCTTCCAGCAGAATGTCTCTTCCCTGAACCCTAGAAGCTATTTTGTAGGATTGTGAGCATGTACAGAGTGTTTTTCCCCTTTGGGAGCAAAAGCAGAGGATCCTATCCTATAAATTCTCCTTTAAAGGC